GCTCCGCCTGCTGATCCGCAGAAGCCAATTACCTGCTCACGAGACCTGTCCACGTGGGGGTGGCCGGACTGCCTCAGAGCCCTGACAGCCCCAGCCACCCTAAAGGCTCTCATGTGAGCAAGAGTCAGCTGACAGGTCTCGCTCCCAGCCTTGCAAAACCCTCCCCAGGGCTTGTTAGGGTGGCCGCCCGGGGCAGGGCGCAAGTCAGGCTTAAAGTCCAGGAGGGGCTTGGGGGTTGGAGGAGGAACCTAGGCTCGTTCAAACAGAAAGGGCCCTCAGGGAAGGTAAGCCGGGCGCAGGGAGCCCTGGAGACCCCTGCTCTGCTCTGAGTTCTGGCGTCTCCCGCTAAAGACGCCCTGAACACCACCTGAGAAAAGCGGCTACAGCGTCCCTCCCACTCACGCACTTCACCTGAAAACAGGTGAGGTCACAGAGGCGACCGGCTCTGGGGTCACGGTGAAAGAACAGAGCCAGAGGTTCCTGGGACACAGGTCTGGTCTGATGCCAAAAACAAGGGGTGCCGCAATCGCTTCCCTCATCCTGGTCCTGGAATTTGCTGGAAGGGACAGGAATGGGCCCAGACGTGATGTCCCCTCGGCTACTGCTCCGCGTTGGGGAGTTTTAAACATGCTCCTCGAGTGTGAGGGATGCGGGCAGAGCCCCTGGTGACGGTGACAGCTTGGCACGTGTGGCCCCTACGCCCGTGTTAAACCCCAGACCTTACACACAGCCCCCTCGGGGAGCAGACTGCCACGCTGACAGCAGTGGGCTCCCCCGTGGCAGAGACCCGCGCTCAGGGTCCAGATCAAACCAGACGAGGTGACCTTAATGCCTACCTGCGCAGGTCAGGCTTGGAGCCGGGGTCTCTAGCCTCTTTCTCTGTTCACCAGAGATGCAAGACGGCTGCAAAGTGTCCCCAGTGCAGCTGACGGGGACGCTGTCCTTGCCACATCACGCCTGCCCCCCAGCTAAAGGCCCAGGGAGCCCCGAATCACCCACCCCAGGCTTTGCCGGTCCACACTCACAGGTGAATTGGAGGCTCGGGTTCACTGCGGATGGGAAGGGGCTGTAGCAGTGCCCCCGACCCTGTGCTCTATAAGCCGTGCAGTGGGTGGCGAGGGGCGCGTGCACCCGCTTCCACGTATAAGAACGGGTGTTCGTTCCAAAACTGCTCTGTGACAGCTGTTCCTAGGTCCTGCTGGAAGGGTGGGAGGCCCCTTAAACACCTACTACGCTAAACTCGCTTTGACCAAGGAATTCACAACTCTGCCCCCTCTTCCTGATGCGCCGTACACTTTCCAAGGCTGTGAAATGATACCATGAAAACGCAGTGCTCATGGGGCGGCAGGTGGCGTGGTGGTTAAGGGCACTGGACTCCCACATGGCCGACCGTGGTTCAAGCCCTGGACCTGGCAGCTTTTCTCTCTCCCCCTCTCCCATCTCTCTGATAAAATAAAGTTAAATAAAATAATTCTTTTAAAAAAATGCAGGGCCCAGCCTCTGTCCAGGTAGGACACACATTTTAAATCACAGGAATGACAAGAGATGAAAACGAAAACACAGCTACAAAGAACTTTTGGATGAGACAGCGTTCGGAAAGAATTCTCTAAAACAGAAACTAAATCGAACAGCACAGGGACCCCAAGCCCGTCCTGTGGGCCCCACCCTGGCAGCTGTCTGTAAGTGCCCACTGAGCATTACTCTCTGCTCCACCCTCAAGTCAGCAGGCTCACCTGCTGGCCACCACTTCCTAGGCTGAACTTCAGGGCACCCGTAAACACAGAGCGGGGCCCAGGCTCAGGAAAAGTGGCCGTCTGTATGAATGTGGGCATTCGGGCGCAGAAGGCCAGCATGTATCTCACGTGCCAGGCACTGTTCTGCCTGGTCATTTAAGCACAGGAAGTAGGGACAAGCAATGTCTGCTTTCAACAGAAGAGGAGAATGGCGTGCAGGAACGTTTCGGCGGGCTGGGCGTCAGCCAGCTCCCCAGCTCCCCAGGGTTGGCTGCCCCGTGCTGTCCGGCAGCAGGAGGGATGGAGGAGGCAGGGCTACCACAGCCCCACATGCCAAGGCTGGCCCTCCTGCACCTTGACCCCACGCCACAGGGATTGTTCCGCGTCCCACTGACCCAGTCCTCTGTGAGGACAAGGTCCCACCCTGTCATGGTGAGTCTTCCATCAGATGCCTGGCCGGGAGCTCCGCCTGGCTCTCCCGCACCGTCGCGTGAGGAGCCAAGTCCCTGCCTGCGGCTCAGCCTTGCTCTGGGCCCTGCCCGGCACCTCGGCGAGGGCATGGCCTGTGCGGGGTAGTTTCTGACCCATTTGAAAGTGGCTTAAATTCTCAGTGCAACTCCACCAGGGTTACTGCTTCGACTGCAGCAAATGCGTAGCAGTTATGTTGCTGGACTCCCACACGGCCGACTGCAGTTCAAGTCCCACACCTGGTGGCTTCAAACTCACACCAGGCGCAAGTGTGTGCATGCCCAAGGTCCCAAGAGGAGAATGGAGGAGCAGGGATTGCGGCGTGACCATCCCCCGGGGGTGATTGCTCGCTTTCTGTCTGTCTGTCTATCTGTCTCTCTGTGTCTCCGGTGAGCTCATTCACCTTATAGCAAAAACCTCTCCCAAAAGAAAAAGAGAATGTGGAACAGAAGCCAGTGCAGTGGCATGTACTGGCTGTCACCGGAGACTCAGGAGGCCAGGCTCAAGCAGGAGGCTAGGAACACAGCAGGACTCAGGACTCGGGACTCTGCCAGGGAGCACGGAAAGCAGAACCACCGGGAGGTGATCCAGATGGACGTCAGTCCCGAAGGCAGGACGCTGCCCACCCGCCCTATCCCCTATGGCAGTAGGGATTACTGGCCTCCATGTCCTCCTGCTTGGAGGAGCAGAGACCGCGGCACCGGCACCTGGCGCCACTCAGTAAGGGGCAGCCTAAATGAATGCGGGTCTGTCTCCATAAAATCTGCCTACCCAGAAGCCCTCCTACTGCTCTGTACATGAAAAGATCAGGGCGAGCCCTCTGCCTGCTGAATAAAGCAGCTGGCTCTCATGTTGACCACAGTGGTTCAAATCCCAGTCCCGCTGCCTTGAAAAACACCTGGCATGTGGGCGAGGGTGCCCGATATCTTGACAGGAGGGCAAGACGGGCCTGGCCATGGCCACCGGGAGTGCAGCGCCCCCTGGCTCTTGCTTTCCTCTCCCTGGCAAGCAGATACACCCCAACAACAAAATGAAAACAACAGGGTATGGGATTGGGCGTATGCTTTGAAACACGCACTCTTCTTAAAAACTGAACACAGAAAAAAGAACTGGGAAGGAGTATCAGGATGTCTGGGTATCCACACTACAGTTGCTATATTTTAAGTCTCCTGTGTTTTCCAGTTACGGGCATGTATTCTTACAAACCAGAGGTAAAGTGACTTGATTTTTAAAGCAGTCTTGCCAGGAATGAATGCTTGACTCTTTCTCTGCAGCAGCTCTGTGGGTTCATCATGAAGGCTCAGTCGGAATCGAAGCTACCTGGGCGGTGAGGTCGGAAGCAGATGGCTGGGAGAGCATGGCTCCTGCCCTGGTGGTGGGCCCTGTGGTGGGCGGTGGGCTCCTGCCCCAGTGATGGGCCCCTGCGGTGGGCGGTGGGCTCCTGCCCCGGTGGTGGGCCCTGCGGTGGGCGGTGGGCTCCTGCCCTGGTGGTGGCCCCTGCGGTGGGCGGGGGGGCCCT